GGGGAGGAAGAAAGGACGAGGGACCGCCTGATGGATGCAGGTTTCCTTTCCCGGTGATGAAAATGTTCTGGGACTGGGACGCCTGGGTGGCTCAGTCAGTTAAGTGTCTGCCTTCAGCTCAGGTCATGATCCCAGGGTCCTGGGATCGAGTCCTACATCAGACGCCTTCTCCCTCTGTCTCCTGCTCCGGCTGCCTGTGCACTCTCTCTCTCTCTGATAAATAAATAAAATCCTAAAAAAAAAAATGTTCTGGGACTAGATAGTGACGGATAGTTGCATAACTTTGTGAATGTACTAAAAACCATTGAACTGTACACTTAAAAATGGTTAGGAGCATAACCTTTAAGTATATTAACCACAATTTAAAAAAACGTCCAATCCTCTCCAGCTTCAGTACTGTCTTGGGGCGCTCATGTATTCCAGGGCCCACATCAAGGGCCACTTGTGTCCCCCCAAGGGTGCCCCTCCTCACCCCATCCGTTTTTGGTGTCACACTGAGCTATCCAACTGAGGACATTTTCTTGCAGGACAGCTCATTCTGAGGATATCTGCATTTGGGCCCAGTATTTTTACTCAAATAAATGGATTCTTTTTTTTTTTTTTTTTTTTTTTTAAAGATTTTTTATTTATTTGTCAGAGAGAGAGGGAGAGAGAGCAAGCACAGGCAGACAGAATGGCAGGCAGAGGCAGAGGGAGAAGTAGGCTCCCCGCCAAGCAAGGAGCCCGATGTGGGACTCGATCCCAGGACACTGGGATCATGACCTGAGCCGAAGGCAGCTGCTTAACCAACTGAGCCACCCAGGCGTCCCTCAAATAAATGGATTCTTAATTGTTCTATTTCCTACAGCAGGGTCCCTTCGGTGGAGGAGATAGTCAGAGATGCGGGGTGGTTCCTGGAGTCTTCAAAAATGACCTCACCACAAGGCAACTTTGGCTTGGTCATTCCCGCAGGGCAAGTAAGAAGCAGCAGATAGAGGCAGAAGGTCCTACCCTGGGACTGACCTTTCACCCCCCAAGAGATCCCATGGAATCAGCCCATCCTTCTAGAACCTCCTTAGCCCAGAACAAGATGCTTTATAGTCCAGGCTGGAAAATCATATCATCTGGATCATTCAGCTACAGTCCCAGGCAGAAGAAGGCACTGGAGAACTAGAGTCCTCAGTTTGAGTTCCTTAGTAGCTGTGTGGCCTTGGGCAAGTTACTCAATCTATCTGTGCCATAGTTTCCTTATCTTTAAAATGAAGATCAAGGGGGGCCTGGGTGGCTCAGTGGGTTAAGCCTCTGCCTTCAGCTCCAGTCATGATCTCAGGGTCCTAGGATTGAGCCCAGCAGGAGGCTCTCTGCTCAGCGGGGAGCCTGCTTCCTCCTCTCTCTCTGCCAGCCTCTCTGCCTACTTGTGATCTATCTCTGTCATAAATAAATAAAATCTAAAAAAAAAAGATTTTATTTATTTATTTGACAGAGATCACAAGAAGGCAGAGAAGCAGGCAGAGAGAGAGGGAAGCAGGCTCCCCGCTGAGCAGAGAGCCCAATGCGGCTCCATCCCAGGACCCCGAGATACTGACCTGAGCCGAAGGCAGAGGCTTAACCCACTGAGCCACCCAGATGCCCCAAATAAATAAAATCTTTAATTTTTTTTTAAAAAATGAAGATCAAAATAGTTTGATCTTAAAAAGTTCTTTCTAAAAAATCTTTAAATGATAATCATGTAAGAGAACCACCAGCCGTTCTAACATTAACCATTTTGATGTGTACAATTCAGCGGCATTGAATGCATTCACGATGTTGGACAACCACCACCTCTAGGGAGTTCCGAAACATTCTCACCACTGCAGAGGTTGTTTTGGAGGATTAAATGTTTGTAATGCCCTAGAACGGTGCCTGGAACAGCATCGGCCAAATAAACGCTCGATAGATGGTAGAATAATTAGTAACAGAACGGGGCTCATAATAGGTAACACGTGCTACGCAGTGCTATTATTAATTCGTTTCCCTCGAGCTGGAGGAGGAGGGAGTTAGGTTCTTACTTCACTTTAAGCCGTATTTTCCACTTTGAGCTTTCCGAACCCGCCTGGCTGTCGCCCCCTCCCCCATACTCCCCGCCCCCCCGCCCAGAGTCCCATCCTCACCGGTTGGGGGCGGGGGGAGGCGCTGAGGGTAGCGAGGAAACCCGAGACCTCCCCCGCAGTCTCAGGGTCTCTCCTCTGCTCCTGGGACTCTTCCTGGCCCGCTCCCTGCATCTCCCACGCCCGCTCCTGCTCCCCCAAGCTGTCACCTTCCGTGGCAAAGGAGACACGTGTGTGGGTGGGTAGCCAAGATTCTGCCAGAACCGAAGGAAGTGAGTTGAAGTGGAAGCACGCCCACATCGGGAAGGGGCTCTGGCGAGCAGACCTCCCCCGCTTATGAGCGCACCGCCTCCCCCTCAGGACCGATGTTTAGTCCGAGCACTCCAGGATCCTCAAGCGCTTGGAAGGACCCCCTCGATCTGCCAGCCCGCACCACCAGACCTGTCCACTTAGAAGAATCACTTGGGGAAGTTGTTAAACAGCCAGATTCCTAGCCTCCTCTGAGCGGTGCCCGGGAATCTGCATTTTAGCATGCACTCTGCTAAAAGGAGTCAGGAGCTGGAGAGTTTGGGACAGACTGTTCCTCCCCATCTTTCTACGGGTAAACATTCTGCTCTGTGGTTACTTAATGCCTATTGAACCCCCTCCGTGCTGGAACAGCAGCTAAGTGTTAGTGCTCACAACGCTGCCGCAGTGACACCTAGGGTTAAGCAGGCCAGTTTCCTTGCTGAGCCCCCGGGTCCAGAGGAAACATCCCTGGACCATCTCCCGCAACAATTTCCCTTGGTGCGCGGACCCTGGAGTCGTGGACTGTCGTTTGCTGCCACCTTGTGGCAGAGATGGCGACCTTGCGCTCCATTTCTGTTCTTGGTAACTGTAATTGAAAGAATGCGCTGAGCACCTACTGTGTGCCCCGTACCCAGTAAGGTCCTGGGGACCTGGGGGCAAATGAATAAGGCAGATATGGTCTCTGCTTCAGGGAGCTCACAGTCTCCTGGGACAGTCAATAACGTACAAATAAATAAAATGAAGGAATGAATGATTACAGAGCGTAAAACATGCTAGAAAGGAAACGAACAAGGGCTGGTTATCGTAGGATGCAAAGGCCTATGTATTTGTAAGGCTATGTATTGCTTTCCCTGTCCAGGACTGTGCGCCACGCGAGGGCATGCGCGTCTGTCTGATTCCCCTTTGTGAATGGGTGAAGTCACCCAGTGCTGGCACATGGTAGGTGCTCAGTAAATGTCCATTGAATGAATACATTTCAGGATGACAATGTTGCCCAGAGCCAGCCTGTTGGCTCTTCCAGGCCGAATAGATGGGGGGGGGGGGGGGGGGGGGGGCGCTTTGTTTTAAATTGTACCTTCACTTCGTTCACTTTTTGAACGCTTTCCCTGCTTACTTTTTTCTCCTTGGTACATTTCATCCTCTCACATACTATATATATGCCTTATTTATTTAATGTCTGGTCCTCCGGGAATGTAAGCTTCAGGAGGGCAAGGATTTGTGTGTGTGTGTTTTAGATTTTATTTACTTATTTGACACAAAGAGAGAGATCACAAGTAGGCAGAGAGGCAGGCAGAGAGAGAGAGAGGAGGAAGCAGGCTCCCTGCTCCCGATGCGGGGCTCGATTCCAGGATGCTGGGATCATAACCTAAGCCAAAGGTAGAGGTCCAACCCACTGAGCCACCCAGGCACTCCGGATCATTGTTTTTTGTTCACTTAATGACTCTCTAGCACCTGGAAGGACTTGACGTTAATAGGTGCTCTGTAAACCTACGCGGAGTGATGAAAGATGCTTGGGCGCGGCTTGGGGCAGAGCCTGTAGAGCTCAAGTAGTAGCCCATGGGAGGGGCGGGGCTCAGAGACTAGGCGACCCTGGTAATCAGCGCAGGAAAGTAAACCTTACGGAGAGGGGAGGGGCTGGGCGGGGCAAAGGTCCGCGTGGGGGCAGAGCTAGACTCGGGGTGGAGCCTTGGGCGAGGTCTTCCCGGGGCTGGGCCGTTTTTGAGGCTGGGAGTCTTAGGGGAGGGACCAGTATAGGGGTGGGGCCTGCTGGAGGTGTGGCCAATCTGGAGAAAGGGCCGGGCTGGGGCGTGGTCAAACAGAGGAAAAACAAGGGAAGGGCGGGGCTAAGACTGGGGCGTGACTAGGGGGGTGGGGCCAGACCAGGGGCGGGGCCAGGCCGGATTCTCCGCTGTCCCAGGTCCTGGAGCACTCCCTCCAGGCAGGTCTCACTCCCGCGTACAGGCCCCTCCCTGGCTGGCCGGGCCCCAGGAAGCGCAAGGCAGAACGCTCCAGGCTGGGCGGTCGCGGTCAAGCCTCGCCCCAGACGCTGCGCTCCGGGCCAGGCGTCTGCTGGGAGCCCCGGCGGACTCAGCTCCTTACTGCCTCCTGGGCTACGTCCCTGGAGACTCCGAGAGCGAGGGTGAGCGGGGCTGTGGGGGCCCGCGAGTGCATACGTGTGTGCGTGCATGTGCATACCGGTGTATGTGAGAGTGTGTGGACGTTTCTGTGCACCAGGGGAATTTTGTGCATGCGTGGAGTATTCAGTAGGTGTGAGGTCCAGGGAGCTGAGTGTGCGTGTGAAGTTGAATGTGTGTGCAAGAACAGTCCCGTGTGGGAGGTGGGTCGTGCATGTGTATGCCCGTGCGTGTGAGACAGAGACGGTGCATGTGAAATTTAGTGAAGACTGTGGGTATGTCAGGGTATCTTGGAGGAAAATGGGAGGGCATATCCAATGATACTTGGAGATCTATAGGGTCGGGACGTCTGTGGCGAGCTGTGGGGTGCGTGGGTGGGTGATGAATTGTGGGAATATAAGAGTTGCAAACGTGTGTTTCCATGTGTGTGGCAGTGAGGGGTGCTGCTGAAAGCCTCAGTGCGAAGGGGTGGGGATGGAGGAAAGTTTGGGTACTGATTCGTCTTCGAGGGATGAGTGTGATCTGGAGCAGTGGGTAATGGACAGGGCAGGGGTCTGGGGCCTGGATCAGGGTAATCTGGTGATCACATCAACCTCCTCACTTTGAGGGCTGGAGAAATGTGTGGGGAGAGCCTGAGGGGCCTGGGCTTGCCCCTTGCTTGGGGAAGCGGTGGGCGGGGTTCTTGCTTCAGGTGGAGGGAGCTGCTACCTTACCAGTCACCTGTCACCCAGGCCCTGTGCTCACTCCTACCTGGGTGGCTTCTGTTGGCGCTCCTGCAAGAACATGGTGCAGAAGTACCAGTCTCCTGTCCGCATCTACAAGTACCCATTTGAGCTGGTCATGGCGGTGAGTGACCCTTGATTCTCCAGCCCCTTGTGTGATGGTTAGAGGGACACAGGAGGTCAGTTATGCAGGAATGAGAGGCAGCCCCTCAAGCCCCCAAATGAGAAGGAATTATTGAGCTGCTCCTCTGCCCTTGTGGGTAGAGCTTCTCACTAGTGACCCCTCTATCTGGCCATCCCGGCTTTCACCACAGCCCCTGGAATCCTTGGCCACTGACCAAATCACAAGATCTTCCTTTTTCTCCTCAATGAAGCAGACCTATTCTCTCATCTCAAGGTCCTCTGATGGAAAACAAGGATATTGTGGCACGAGCCACTGCTGTCATTTTGTGTAATGCTAATAATAATAATAGTAATAGTAAATATACGAATGATGACAATGGTAGCAGCCATTCACTGAGGGTTTACAGAGCCAAGTCTTTACGTCCATTATCTCATTAGTTCCATTTTACCTTCACTAAACTGAAGGTTTGGACTGGCGAAGGGGGCCCCAACTTCTGTGGCTGAGAAGAAGTAAAGCCAGGGCTCAGACCCAAGCAGGGAGTACTCCAGAGTCATGACTTTTACCACAACACCCCCACCAGAGTCCTCCTTCTGCTAGCACACCTCTTTTCCTTTCCCTCAAGGAATCTGAGAGGGTGCGAGTGTGTAGCAAGGACCGTCATTTTCAGGGTGGCTTCAGACTGAATCTATGTAAGTCAGGCAGCCAGTCAGTGGAGGGACTGGCATTGGCTCCCAGGCTCTTGGCCGGTGCAGGTGCTGTAAACAGGCCGATGTAGCTTTCCTTCTTGGGACCCTCCCTCTGCCTCTCAGAAGTCCCACTCCTTGGTGAAAAGGGGGCAATGCTATGGGATTGTGTCAGGAATGAATGAGAAATGTGTGATGCCTCTGGCCCACTGCCTGGCACACAGTTGGCACTCATTAAACGTGGGTGTCCCAGCTAGTGCACCACACGGTGTTATAAATGATTGTATTGAAAGTGCAAGATATACTGGCATCCATCTGCGTCCTCCCCATCCCAGCCTGGCTGCCTTAACTTCAACATTTGATTCAAGGGCTTTCATATCAATTGGTACCTCTGTGGGCATGTGTCCTGCCAGATCTACCTCTATATGTGTTTATAATCACATAATGGAGTTTAGAGCATCTGGAGTCATTCATAGATGTTGTGCTGTTATGTGCAAAGGATTCCAGCGCAAGAGGCTGGGGCAGGGCTGGTGTTGACCAGCTGGGTGACCGTAGGCAAGTTACTTAACTTCTCTGAGCCTCCATTCCCCATCTCTAGATGAGGAGTGTGTGGTTTCCAAATCCGGGCTTTGTGCCGTGGATTAAATTAGTCGATATATGTAAAGCTCCCGATGCAAGGTCTGGCACAGACCAAATGCTGTTACTGTTACGGTTGCTGCTGCGTGTGGCTGTGTGACTTTCCCTCATTGGTGATGAGGGTGGGACACCAGGGGATGATCAAGAGTCAGCAGCACTGGGTCCTTGCTACAGGTCTGCTGTGCTCTGGCTGTGTGCTGTTAAAAAGGCACTGAATTTCTCTGAGCCTTGGTTTCTTCGTTTGTGAAATGGGGATGATTATATGCAGTTCACAGGATTATCATGAGGACTCAAAGTTTTATAATATATAGGTTATAAATATGTATGTTATATATTATAACATAGGGGAAATGGGGGGTGGGAGGCAGGTGCCCCACATGGAGCTTGGTCCATACCAAACAGACAGTAGATGGCAGCTGAATATAAGTACTTGTCCTCCGTCTAAGGCTCCAGGCAGCTCACATATTCTAAGGCCCTAGGACTCATTCATTCATTCATTAAAATAAGAGAGCCGCTGTCCCCACCCTTCTGGAACAGTCCAGGGACCTGTGGTTCTCTACCATGAAACTGAGAACATAACTACCACATGGAGAACTAATACTGTTTTATTATTGCCAGAGCTTAACAAATCTAAATTTAATTCAGCATATTTAGGATTCTCAAAATATTTACAATTATTGCACTTTAAAATAAAATGTGCTGGCTAAAGTCTCACGTAAGTAGGTATTAATAAGACTAGTACAGTATTCACTTTGATTTTACTGGAGTAGCTTAAGCATATTTTGTAAGCTTCCTGTTTCATAAACAAGGCAGGACTCCCTTTACTCCCCTAGCTGTTAACAGTTTCTGGGTGTTTGTGCACAGAGGCTTGTGGGGACAGTAGGAAAGAAAGGTTTTCAGATACTTGTTATCTGTATCTGCATTAATTTATTTGTCTTTCTCAACTTGCCCACGTTTCCTCATCTTCCATACAATCCTAGTTGGTGAAAGGGCCCCAAACCTCTGTAAAGCCGCTTTGCCGAATGTTTACAAAACATCATTGTCCCCAAGATAGCTGCATAACTCAACATAACTTGCATGCTGTGTGGGCACAAAAGGGTTTTTCTGCACTTAATGTCCGTCTTTGTTTCTCAGCTAAACACTTGGCCTCAGTTTGGGTCAGATGCCAGGGAAGCGTCAGATGGACTCAGCTCTTCTCAGTGTATCCGAGTGACCAGATGAGCTGGCCTCTAGTTTTCCTGTTTAACAAAACTGACTTGAGAACTGAAGCATTCCTTGCTTCAGAAGTCCACCAGCAACAAACACAAACGACTAAAACTGGGCTCAAGGAATTGGTTATGAAATAGCACTGAGCTAACCGTTCTAGACAGAGCTTAAAAAATGACAAGAAAGCAATTTTTTTTCCTCTTTAAATTTCAAAAATTGAATCCAGGGAATGGGTGTCTCTCTCCTTGGGCTAAATTCCTTGATGTGAATTCTGTTTTTGAAGGGTGGGATTCCAAGGACCTTTACTTTCTTCTTTCCTGATTGTATTCTGTGTTATTTGGTTCAAAACAATGAACTCCTATTATCTTGGTAAACAGAGGAAAATCATCAAGACAATGGAGGTAGCTGTGAATCCAAGGTTGGAGAGGGTCTTTGGCTCCTTTGTTTGTAGGGTCCCAGAAGGTGGGGGGGGGATCTTTGTGCATAGAACACAAAGGCCATGTTTCGGACTTCAGACGGTGGTCCCTTGAGCATCGAAGGCCTCTCTCTGGTCAGCCTACAGCCTGCTGTGAATGGATTCCGGGTTATCCGGGCTCTCCTCCCAGATGGATGGTGGTGAAAAGCCCTGATCTATCAGCTGGGTCCCTGATCCAGTTTCTCAGCTGGAAAATGGAGGATTATAAAGCCTCCTGCTCCATCAAGAGTGAAAGTGAGGCTTAAATGAAGGGACCAGGGTGCCCAGACACGGCCAGGCATATTGTTCATGCTGGTGAAATATTATTTAGGTGTTTTTTTTTTTTTTAAGATTTTATTCATTTATTTGACAGACAGAGATCACAAGTAGGCAGAGAGGCGGGGGGGGGGGGGGTGGGGAGTGGGAAGCAGGCTCCTTGCTGAGCAGAGAGCCCAATGTGGGGCTCATCCCAGGAGCCTGAGATGACCTGAGGTGAAGGCAGATGCTTAACAACTGAGCCACTCATATGCCCCCCAAATTTGTATTCTCAATCTTGAACTCTGCCATTTCTCAGAGCTGAGGATCTCAACTCACTGGGGTATCATCTGACCCAGTGAGTGGTCTGGCAAGGATCGTTACCACCAGGACTGCTTCCCTATCAGGACCCCACAAAGGGGAGCACACCAGGAACCCACAGATCCTGGCCTGCTGGAGGGGGCAGCTGATGCTGACAACCTGGCAGTGGTTACCTACCAAACCCTCTCTGTGGCCAGCTCTTGAGGCCCGCTCAGAGGTGGGAACGTTCATGGGTGGCTTAGGACAACAGATATCTAGAGGCCTGAGGTCCAAGACAAAGCCTGTGCTACAGCCACACATTCCAGATGCTGGTGCTGATGTTCCGTAAACACCTGTGTGCCAGCGGTCACAGCAGCTCCAGGAATAACCGGGCTGCCTCTTGTCCCGGCACTGCCCCGGGATCCCAGTAGGGCTCCAAGGCCCCGTGACTTCAGCTCATCTCAGATTCTGCAAATCTAAAGAAGGAAGATGGCTTGGAGTAGAATTTCCTTAGCAATAGGCTTTTCACACAGAGGAAGGGTTACGGAGGTGAGAGCTTTCGTCAGCAATGAAGTGTTAAAATATTTAAAAACCTGGCCTTTTGTCTTGATAAACAGCTTGTAATTTGGCAAATGGATTATTAATCAGGAGCAACATCGAGAGGTAAATCCTGGCAGCTCAGGCCAGGGCAGTTGCAGTTGGACCCGTTGTTACGGACCTAGTTTTAATAAAGCAGTAGGGACCTTATTTAAATGAGTTTAAATTAGTTCCCTGGAGCCCATCATCTGATCCTGTTGCTAACAGATTAAGGGAAGCGACATGTTCCGCCCTGGATTGCTTACAGGGACCTGACACGTTCTGCTTTGGTCTGGGAGAACAGAAGCGATCCAGTGCCCAGCAAAGTGATCTCACGATTTCTTCAGCAAATTTTAGGTCCTCACTCATTAGTTTATGCAGATATTAATTCACACACGTGCTCGTATGTGCATCCTACAAATATTTATTGCGTTTCACTGTGTGCTGCAGCATGCTAGGTATAAGGGCTACAACAGAGCAGATTCCTAGCACGTTATGAAACGCATCATGATTCTGTTCATTTGCTTCCTTGCTTGTTTATAGGGGCCTTTCTCATTAAAGTAAGCTTCAGGAAGGTGGGGACTTTGTCTATCTTGTTCTGGTTCTCTGACACCATCCCTTCCTGCCCTCATGGAGCTTGCAGTGGGGTCTCTGTGTGTGTGTGTGTGTGTTTCTGAAAGAGAAAGGGAGAGAGACAGAGAGAGGAACCAGGCAATGCTATGTAGAATGATTCCTAATAGGGAATACATCGAGTGTTATAGGAACATGGGGAAGGGCCCATTAATCACCAGCTAAAGGTCTTTTAGGTCCTTCAGGCTGAGCCTTGCCAAGAGCAGGAGGGTCCACGGTGTGCAGAGAAGGAGACGTTCTCTCTGAAGAAATAAATGTGG